TTAAAGTGTACAAACCAATCTACCCAGCAACTGAGGCAATTTCCACTACCGATAACTGACAGTGTAGGCGGTGTGATACGAGAATCATGAAATTAGCTTTGATCAGTTACCCGGATGAGTGGTCACTCTGATAAGCATGTTCAGCGTAGCATGGACAAGTATTCCAGATCACATTATAAGCGACATGGGTTTAAGACACTTTACTTGAGTACTCATAAGGATATTGTAGGCTTCTTCAGGTTCAAGAGGATTTTTCAACTCGGAAGTAAGCTATTTTCTGTGAATGTGCGAGACTTCCGATTCATTAGTGAGTGAGCTGTAAATGGTAAAATGATTTGCACTACAAACCTTAATTACGACAATACATTAAAATAATAGGGTAAGAAATAGCCCACCAGTTTGCAATATCAAGCAGCATAACCAGCTTTTTTGTACGGCTAAAAATAACTGGAAGCGGATGACACCGGAAGCCAAAACACATTCCATTCACACTCTTTTATGTGAAAAATAAGGTGGATGCAGTGTTGCAAACCTGGGGAACCCCATAGGATCTGTTGTACAAACTAGTGAATGTACTGTCTTTCAGAAACTCAAGGATTTCTGAAAGACATAGGCCTATAGTCATATACCAAATTTTGTGAGCAGTATCATTTTTCTATTTCCGTCCAAATGAAAGATGTAGTTCAGGTGTCTTAGCAGAGTAACCACAGGTGTAGTTCATGGATATGATCCACTAAGTTTGTCAACTCAGCTAGGAAGTATTCTGTATACTTTTTGTCTTTCAAAACTTACAAATACTTTTTTGTTTGAAAAGTGTATTAGCCTACTTGGTTTGTTATTTTGTTTTGTACCCTAATGTTTTTTTTTTTGCATGCGCTGTATCTGAGTTTGCTGCCATCTGGTGGATGTAGTCATTTAGGTCCTGCCTTTAGTCTCACACTTCGGGCTATGAGACATATCATAGAAAACATCTTCTTTGAACCTCACTCACCTCAGGATGAGGCTGTCAGGCCATACATTCTAATGTCCATAATGAGCATCTAATCCAAATCCATTATTGATCTCATTCTCATCTGAGTAAGCAAGTTACCTCTGCACTCCTTAGGGCTGGGGGGCACACTATAGATAAAAGACTAAGATATAGGTAAATATATTACTGTCCTATATCCCCCTTCTGACAGATCCATATGCCTTTCACTGAAATGTTTGTTAAAAAGTCACTGAGTCATGAAAAAGTCATTGGTAGTGCATATAAAACGTTTATGCAATGATATCCAAAATAAGAGTTCAAATTAAATAAAATTAAACTTTAATTATAAAGCACCTTAAAACACACTAAAAAGAAAGAATTAATAGAAGAAAACAAGGGAAAGAGATAAAATAATATAAATTTCTGTTTGTAGTCCTAAAAACTTGAAGAAAATGTTAATGTCACGAGTTCCGAGTTCAGTGTGTTGCTTCTGAATTTATCCTACATCCTACAAACATTTATTTTGTCAGTTTAATGGGGTTTAAGAGTGGCAGATTTTGATTAGAGCAAAATAAGGTCCGGCAGATTTTGATTACTGGTTACCAGAATGGTTACCATTACCATTACTCAAGAAATTCTCAAGTTTTATTCTGTAAAATGTATTACCACAAGGTTTTATGTGCTTGATGAATTGGTTGAATTAGTAATTGTTTAGCAACCTACATCTTAAATAACAGTAATTTGTGTTTTAATTATGAATGTCTAATTTATGTTGTATGATCTTATTTTACTCATAGATTGAAAACCAATTGTCTGCGTTCCAGGCAACTCATAATTCTGCCACCTCCTATTTGAAAATAACATGAGTAAATGATGACATAATTTCCCTTTTAATGTTACCTGTCTCTTTAAGACTTGGGATATAGGCTTGTAAGGGTTCTATATGGACCAATTTTATGGTACTTTTGTCATTTTTGCACCTTGACACTCATATATGCTTTTATTGTAGAGAAAAGATCTGCATGAACATTCATGAACAAGTATCTCTTTTTGCGTACCTTGACTAAGGAAACGACTTAAGGTGAGTTTTCATTTTGGTTGAAATATTTCTTTCAAGGGAATGTAAAAAAAGGATAAACAGTCCAGTTACTATGTCAGCCACAAGAGGGCGTAGTTGCTACATTAGTTTATAGTGTGCAACAGAAAAGCAACAGCAGCTATATAAAGATGTTGATGAAATAATTTGGAATTACTTAAGCATATGAGTCATTCCAGAATTGCGGGTACATTTCAAGTAGAGAAAGAAAACAAAAAATAGGAATTTTTTTCTGTTAAACTTTATTTTCATAGAATGCTGTTTAAATTCAACATTTTTAATATTTGCTGATCTTAAACTTGTAAGATTTAAAATATGAAGACTGAACATCAATACAATACAGAAAAATCTGTCAACTTATAGACAAATTGGGTTGACGATAACAGAGTTGACATTTTCCACCATTTTGTGCTTTAGGTCAAAATGCTAACCTCAAACCAGATACATGGCATGTCTAAAAACAGAATTTTATGGGTTTTCGCCATATTATTGTTTTTTAAAAAGTGAATGAGAGATTCACTGCAATATCACAATAAAAGATTTGACAAATACGTAATCTACTATTGGTGTATCCTAAACAATTTGTACAAATTAATGAGAGAAGAATAATGACATACTTCACGCGTACCAGAATTTCCCACCAGAGGAAGTGACATCCCTTGGTCCAATTCACATGCTTTTTCTACAAATGCTTTGGAGGGTTTATTTTGTTTTATAACAGAGGTAACAGAGTTGACCAGAACGTAGGGACAGACACAAAATCTATTTTTTTATTAATTAAATTGCATAGAATATATATTTTCTGTATTATTTGTAATTGTTTAGGCCTGAGTAAACACAAAAAATATTTGAAAATTAGACTTAATTGCCTCCTGATTCATACATTCAACTTGAATTATCATGAAACAGAGACAGTCAATAATAGGTGGAGTGGGAGTCATTTAGTTAATATTTCCAATTTTTTTTTTCCTAAATATACATAAAGCATTATTTTTAGAGATAGTTTAATATAATTTGTGTTATTAACCTCGAGACTAGATTACTGTAATGCTTTATTAGCCGGTTGTCCTGCATCTTCAATAAACAAGCTACAGTTAGTGCAAAATGCAGCCGCTAGAGTTCTTACTAGATCAAGAAAATATGATCATATAACACCGATTCTATCATCACTTCATTGGTTACCTATAAAGTTCCGTATTAATTACAAGATATTGATTTTGACTTATAAAGCTCTAAATGGTTTAGCTCCAGTCTATTTAACGGATCTTCTATCGCCCTATAATCCATCGCGCTCTTTAAGATCACTAAATTCGAGGCTTCTGGTCATTCCTAGGATATCCAGATCCACCAAAGGAGGGAGAGCATTTTCACATTTAGCTCCGAAGCTCTGGAATAGCCTTCCTGATATTGTTCGTTGCTCAGACTCGTTCTCCCAGTTTAAAACTAGACTAAAGACGCATCTATTTAGCCAGGCATTCATATAAATTTTATCTTACAGTTACTGTAAATTCGGCCTCTACTTCAGAGGAGAACTGGCCCCGACTGAGCCTGGGTTCTCCCAAGGTTTTTTTTTTCTCCATTGGGTCATCTGATGGAGTTTTAGGACACCATCGGGTCACTTGATGGAGTTTTTCGGTTCCTTGCCACTGTTGCCTTTGGCTTGCTCAGTTGGGGATATTCAAATTAAATGACCCATCATACCACTGATCAGCTCTACCAAACTTGGATGTCTTTTTCCAGTAATAAACAAACACTGTTAAGTTGTTTTGATTGATACTGTGAAGCAGTGAAAAGCGCTATATAAATATATTTGACTTGACTTGACTATTATTCAAAACTGATTCAAAAAAGGTTTTTTTAAAAAATGTTTTAATAAAAGGTTTATCTGGGAGACTCGAAATGTACCCCCAATTCTAGAATGACTCTTAATACCTCCTGATACTCCTAGTCATATCATAGATTAAATAAAAAATTAAAAACATTTTGTTGGAGACAAACACTCCAACAACATGTTCAAATACAATATGGCTGAATGAAGTGCACATCCTTTTACAGCCATTTGATATACAGTTGTTTCTGCTTTTGTTTAAATAATTATTTGTCTGTTTTTACTGACAACAGATTTTATTGCAAAATAGCTGTGTAAGCCAGTGAAGTCCAGTGAATGAGGATCGTTTCAAAGAAGAGTGAGTAGTAAAAACAAATGGTAGCAAATAACCATTTCAATTTCAGTATTGGAAAAATTGCAGCTGATATTGGCTTCAGTCTAATCAGGTTATAGGACAGAATACTACACTGCCTCACATTGGTATCTTATGAGAGATCAAAAAGACATCGCAGACATGTGGGGATTAAATTATCAGAATAGCGCAATGGTAATTATCTTTGTCTTTTATTAATGGCATTTTTGTAACTTGCTCTTTTACAACCTTCTTGGCAGGAACGAACTTACCTTTTTGTGGTTTAGATGGTTAAATGTGTTCCCCCCCCCCCCACTCAATTCGACACCACACGAGAAGGAAAAGTCACACTCTTGGGCCAAATTTGGGACTGGCTTCAATTAATAGTAATCAGGTGAAATATTTAACCCCGTTCTGTTTGAATCACCTGTCGGTTTTGCTTGAATTATCACTTGTTTGAGAGGGGATAAAGACACGCACGTGTACAACACCTGGAACGTTATAATTAACGGAAGGTCAGAGAACAAGATGATGTGTCATTTAGCTGGGTGCCTCGACTCTGCAGCCGATCGTGTAGGGAGATGTCTTAGGGCAGCCATAAAAATTACAGAGAACTCAACTGACAGCTATTATGTGGACTGTCTGTCATGCTGTCAAATTAGCCATTAAGTTAATTATAGCCCCACTGAAAGTCACATTGTATGGAGGAGCCAAAGTATGTGTAACAAGACAGCTAGCACAAGGCAGCCAGTCAGACTTTAAAAACAAAAGGGCACTGTTTATTAGATTCATGTGCAGAGCCCAAAAAGCTGTCATATTTCTAGTGGAGTACAAACCTGTCCAGCAAGCAAATTGTCATAATTTCCCAGCGGTACAGTTTCAGCAGTTTGTAGAGGGTGAATTTATTTCCACAGATTAGAGAAATTTGAGGAACAATACATTTTCTTTCGTTTTTTTTATATATGGCATTTGTCATTTACTGTACAATTCCACAATGCAAACATCATAGTTATTATAACTGTACGTGATTAGCTTGACAACTTGCTGCTATTATGTGTCATGAGCCATTGCGAGACTTTGATGATGAAATAAACAGACTTAACACTGACATTTTCCACATACAGTCTGGCATGGTAGATCACTGTGAACCCCACAGTAAAAACCTGAAGGAGGTTTACAAAGTCTATAATTGGCACTATGATTTGTACAAGAGTATTTTTCATTGTTCAAATATTAAGCCGGTATAATGAAGCAAAGATGTATGCCTGGAACATGTGGGCAATTCCAGAGACCTTAAAGGGATAGTTCACCACAAAATGAACATTCTGTCATCATTTACTAACCCTTTTGTTGTTCCAAACCTGTATTTCTTCTGTCGAACACAAAATAAGATATCTCAGTTTTTGTTTTGTCTGTACAAGTCAATGGGTTTCAGTGTTGTTTTGGACTCCACTGACTTTCATTGAATTAAACAGTTAAAACAATCTTCTTTTGTGTTCTGCAGAAGAGATAAAGCCATTCAGGTTTGGAAAGACAGGAGTAAATAATGAACTATTCATTTAAATTCTATCCTAGTTATAAATCAAACTTATATAGTTCACCACTTGCATTGTCTATGCAAACATCCAGCCTTCTGTCCTGGCCTGTGTATTAAATCTCAGATGTTGTAAAACATAGTCCGCCAAAGTGACTCCCCCACAGCTTCATCAAATTTCCATCAAGATTTACAATGTTGTTGTCGGCATCCGCTATTTTACACACGTGGTGATCAAAACAATGGAATGCAATAAAAGTAAATTGACTGGCTGAGCGCATGCGCAGGTGCGACGGCCAGGCCGACATCTGGAAATCCGAGTGCATGCGACACTTTACATGTGATTCTTCTTGAAGTCTTGATGGGTTGTTGGCAGTGCTAATGAATCTTAAAATGGTTGCTCTGAATCATCAGCAATGAAGTGTACCTTCAACTTTTCTTTTTCCCCCCTTTTTTTTCAGCCAGAGGGTCTTTCTCCATAACACATTTATTCAGCTGCACTCCTCGCAGCTGCACGCAAGGATGTAACGGTAAGTGGCGGTTATCCGTGTCCCGCCCGAGCATCGCAGACGTACCGCCTTCAGTTTGGAGGTGTGTGGACGGCAGCAGAAACACGTGCTTTTGAAAGGCTGCTTCAGGACAGAGCTGAAAGAGATCAGCGGGTCTGAGCGGGACGTGTGGCTGCAGTGACCCTCACATCGAGCCAGGAGAACCATCTGTAGAGCATAAAAGGTTCATTTAGTTCCATGTTTGAGTAAATGGGTGTTACTATCTTTCTCTTGTCACATTAATTAAAATTCATGTTCTATCTGTTTATCTGTCTGTCTATCTGTCTATCTATCTGGGAAAATATTTGTGTTCTAAGACTATTGCCCCAATTTAGTTTTCTAAAACATTTTTCTAAAAATAAATTTATCATACAAGAGTGTTTTCATGGCAAAAGTTTAGTAATCGATCGTTTAGTGGTTGTCGCACATGATTGAATGATTTCAAGGCGCATATTTTCATTACGCAAAACTGTCTGTCTTTACCATAAGCGATTCTCTTTGAACCTCACTAAAAGAATGTGTGTGCCACTCAAACCAGCAACAGATAAAGGAGAAAATGATCATTTAAATAAGACTGTACTTTACTGTTTGGTGATTGTGCCACATCAAACCACATTTACAGAATTCAATTGATGTGTCAGAGGTGAATATATTCAGGTTATAAAGCATTATTTTTAGGTTCTTCTGATCATGTAAGTGCATTAAGAGAAAAAAAAACTATCTATCTATGTCGATCACTTTTAAAATATTCATATAGGCATATATTGTAAAATTTTAGTTGGATGATACCATACAAAAACTTTGTAAAGCCCAATTTGTTTATTCATTTTGTTTTAAGAAATTATTTTCAGTTCCAAATTGGCCTTCGCCCTTTTTTAAAGACATCAACAAAAACTGGAATGTGTGTAAGATTTTGCAACATGACTAAGTAGTTTTACCAGTGGTGGGCATCCTTCGTTGTCTGACTCTGCACAAGTATTTGTAGTTATTATAAAGAAAGAGTCCTGTGCCATCCCTAATTTGAACCCTGTGTCAGAAGAACTAAGATAAGTTTCCTGAGAAAGTTTGCAGTGTTGAACAAAGAAAGCTTGTGTACTCTCTCACTTTGACCTTGCACCTGCATGGTGATGGGAGTGTGGTTGATCTCTCCCAGACCTGGATGCTCAGGCTACTTGACTCCCCCAAATACCTCAATCTCACAAATTTGCCTCATCTGCTTTGTGAGGATTGTTGTGTGACAGATGAAAGGCTTTGCACTTCGCAGGACCGATTTATGGGGGTCAGTGATCCACCTGGCTACATCGCTGGAGTTCACTGGCTGATAAAGAGAGATTCGCTCATCAAAAAAAACCGCCCTTTGAAAAGCTCTGTCCTACATAAGAGTTCTCTCGTAATTAAAGGTTAATGAGTGATGCTCATCTGCAATGATAGACACAAACGTGACCCAGTTCAATGGTCTACTGATTCGGAATATGAGGTGCTGGCCAGACCACGGGCCGCCACATTCCTGAACACTCCGTAAATGGACTCCTATGTCATGTTGTCTTTCAGCTGCATAGTGTTAGCGGAGTGTCACCCCCATTATAAGGAACACTAGCCTGTCTGAGGCCAAAAAGCACCCGATATGCATCACTCATGGTCCGACATCCATGAATGAAGCGGCATTGACTTGCTGCTTTTAGCTGATGTCATTATTTAATGTCACCTGAAACTGTAGGCATACGGCCATGTTCGTGAAACAATCGGAGGATAGATGTGGGGGATTTCAGAGGGGGGTGCAGTGGAGGTGTGTGGCCACAGAAGATGAATATCCAAGGAAACATGGCAAGGTGACAAAAGCTGGGCAGCAGATGTTAGTTCTTCTTCCCGTCTATATTTATCTCAGAGTGACTGCGCAGGTGGACCCTATTGTGTAGCACTACTGAAATTTGCATGGAAGCAACAGCCATCCTCATAACTAATGCAATGTGTAATAGGCTTCTTTAAAGGTGACTGAGTTGAGCTTAATCCATTGTGCTGCTTTTAGACAATGGGCCTGTGTACATGCTGAGGTCTGTCAATCAGAAACTTATAAAATATTTTACTGTTGGGTTAGTTGTTTGATACAAAATGGTCTGGCTAGTGACTATACAGTTCTTGCTTTTAACCAGTAGAGCTGATTTTCCAATTCACAAGCTCTCAGTTTGATTCAATTTTATTTGATTCCGATTCATTTGGGCATATTTCAGTTATAAAATCTGTTTTGCTTGCGTATCAAAGAAATGATCTCCCAGCTGATGCTGTAAATTACGCAGGGAAGCTTCTAAAACTAGCCTGAATAACTGAATGAATAACTATTATTCATTATAGAGTTCCAAGAGTGCTGAGTCCAACAACACTGAGTTTGTATCACTCTTTTTGTCTGTGTTGTCTGGATTTGTTTGGAAATATTAACTTGGTTATTGAACTTGTATATAAAAAAAGAAATATCACTCTCAAAATTGTGCTGTAAGTTTTTTGTGAGTGGTACCACACTGGTTGCACTTAATGCTTTTTGATTCTCTAAAAAGAATTAGCTATTTGAGTCATTTTTTCATGAATCTGATTACACTGGTTGCTCTGAATGGTTTTGATTCACTAAAAGGGATATTTGTTCATGAATCATAATAGTCTGCACTTAGGTACACTAAGTTTGTTGTATCATTGAAATTCAGACTGCAAACTCAAATAAAATATGACCTGCCGTATGACTGATGGTGGTCCTTCGTGAACGATTCGTTCATTGTGTCTGTCACTGACAAATGAAAAAAAGACTCAGGAGGTTATTTTTCTCATAATTTATCCATGGATCGGAGGTTGATCTGATCACGTGTTTAGGGAATTTGCCTTTTGAAAATATAACCTTCTATCATCAAATGGACAAAATTACTTGAATAAAGATTAGCTAATTTTGCTGAATAAAATTCAAAGATAAAGACTGATGAGGAGGAGTACAAGGAGTACGCCCCTGAAAACGGCAAAATAAAGGATAGTTCTTGGGATTTTAGGAATCTATATAGAGATTATGATTAATTGGAATATCAGTATTTTACAGCCCTATTCACTAATTACTTTCTGGAAGCAATCATGTACGCAGAGTCGGTTTTAATTACTTTAGAGAGATTCAGCTGCTTTATTTGGATCCTTGAATGAAACTTTACCTAACCACGTTTTCCATTTTCTACTCACTGCTTTTGGATCATCACGGTGTTTGTTATGGTAATTAGAAAATACCGTTTGTGTAATGCTTGCAGAATGAAGATTTTTAGCTCCAGCACAGGTGGCTGACTAGCTCATCTTCAGTTTATTGGATGTTGAATATTTGTTGACACAGCCCAGCTGGGTTTGTAAGAGCGGGAGCCTGAGAAACTCAATTCACAAAATAACAGATCATGAGAGGCTGCCCTTCTGAGGCGAACAGGTGAATCAGAGCATCTGGAACTCATCCCATTTATTATCGATGGCTTATTTTGAGGGGACGTATCTGAGGCACTCATTGTTTCGATAAGCAAAAAATGAGTCAGGCGTAACACTGTGTGGAGCCTTGGAACTGTGCCACCTCCAGACATTTTATGCACCTCATGAGTGCTTATTTCTGGCGAGGCTTTAGGCCGCACAGGCAGGCAGTGTTCCTTGCCAAGGTGTCAAAGTAGTTAAAGGTAGAGGTCATTAGACAAGCCAGCCATGCTATCTGATTCAATAAATGAAAACAAGGTTTCTTGGGTTCTAATTATGAGGGACATCCCTGGGGTCAGTGTTTAAATGTAAAACCTTCTAAAGCATCAGGAGACTTGATTTGTTTTCAAGCAGCTTGTTAGCAGAAAAGTTGTGGGTGTAGAGAGTGTATTGTCTTACAAGAAGACCTGACCTCCCAGACCATTTTTTTGTAATTCAATAAGCTACAAGGGAGCTCAATTTTTGTGTTCCTTTCACTTGGATGCTAAGGCTTTTTTTCTTCTCCATACTGATATGAGACAAAAAAACGTGTAACAATAATCTCAAATCAAATCATTGGCGAGATACGGGAAAGCTTTATGTGTGTCCATTTGCAGTGTCATCAAATATAATTTTGTGCATGCTAGTGTTTCCCACCAGTGTTTTATTATTTTTATACTATTATAATATTTGTGAAGATTTTTATTGGCTCATTACCAATTTTCATTACAATTTTAGGTTACTTTTAGTTTTGAAAAAAAATATTTCTGAATAGGTTTTTTTTTTTTTTTTTTTTACTTCAGCATAGTTAGTTGCCAACATTCTTTCATTTTTAAAGTTTTTCTTGGTGTAATTTTTTCATTATATTTACTGCATATTTTCAGTTTATTTAAATTACTGAAAACAACTTTAAAACTAACCACAACAACAAACACCTCAAACTGTAACAAATGACTCTTTTACGACTCTTTTTAATGAGCGATTCTTTTTAATAAGTCAAAAAGATTTACAGCCTTTAACTTGCTTGTGTGTTAGCGGTTTGAATCAGACTTGCGTAGTCAATTGATTGTTCAGAGCCGTTTCTGAGTTCAAAACTGACTCCCTCATTGAACGGTGAATCATTGTTCAATTACTGTTGAAATAGATAGTTCACACAAAAATTTAAATTCTGTCATCATCACTTACTCATCCTCAAGTTGTTCCAAACCTATATGAGTTTCTTTCTTCTGCTGAACACAAAAGAAGATATTTTAAAGAATGTTGGTACAGTTGATGGGCACCATTGACTTCCATAGTAGGGGGAAAAAATACGGGTTACCAACATTCTTTAAAATATCTTCTTTTGTGTTCTTCTACTTGATAATTTTCATTTTTGGTTGAACTATCCCTTTAGGTTTTTGTTCAGATTCGAAATGAACTGGCAACTGTTACTGTTAAATAGTCTTCTAAATTTTACAAAAAAAAAAAATATTACTGGATACAAACTTAGTTTAGCTGACATTTTAGATCAAACAGGCAGATATTTTCTTAGACAACATGATGAATGACATTTTTTGAACCAAACATTTTTTATGGATTTTTAACATTTATATGGCACAAATAAAATCAGGATCACTATACAGCATCACAATTTTGAGTTCTTACCTTTGAATTGCATTTGTAGATAGGATGTGTGATGGTCTCAACAAAATGATGTCTCATACACCTGTCAGGATCATTGTCCCCTAAGTGTCCACTCTCTGCCTTACAGGTGACACCCTGCAGGATAGTCAGCAAAGGACATGTGACCAGAAGAAGTAGAATCCCAGGCTGGCCCAGCGCGACTGAGTTCCTCATATTGTCCACAGCTTCCACAGATAAAACAAAAGAAAGCTTGACCGTCTCCTACAGAAGACAACGAAGAGGTCTCCACTGTGTTTTTGATGCCACATAAGTGAACCGAAACATGTAGTGAGCGTTGTCTCTAAACTCAACCATCTCCTTGAGTGGCCTGGATGTATCTGTGGGTAAAGAAAGGAACCACGGTTAGTCCAGGATGCAAGCTGCAGAAAAAACACCCATCTGAGAGCGCGATTTCAGGTAATGTTTCGCATGTTACGCCCAGTGTTGAGCATGTTACTTAAAAAAAGTAATTATAGTTAGTTACTTCTCATAAATAGTAACTGAGTTAGTAACTGAGTTACATCATTATAAAAGTAAGCTATTACCTACAGGGAACAGAACGTAGGTAATTTTCGGGTTTTATTTTAACCTAAACAGAACGTTCCCTGCAGGTTATTTTCGGGTTTTATTTTAACCTAAACAGAACGTTCCCTGCAGGTTATTTTCGGGTTTTATTTTAACCTAAACAGAACGTTCCCTGCAGGTTATTTTCGGGTTTTATTTTAACCTAAACAGAACGTTCCCTGTAGGTAATTTTTTAGATTTTATTTGTATGACCATGTAAATTAATTAACGTTGCAGATGATACCAATAGGCTATAGATAATGCTGTCTAATGCTGAAATATGTCATTTATTTATAAACAAACTATATAATGCTCGGACACCCTCGGTCTCTCTTGCGCAACTGTTGAGCGCGCTCTCGGGTTCGCTTCGCTTTTGTCCACTCCGGCGCCTCATAAACACACACACACACACCAGAGAAAAAAACTTTGCAGGTCCTATGGCGGAGAGAGAGCCTACTCGGATGAAAACCGCTTTAGTGAGTTCAATTATAGTAACGCCACATTTTTTTTTTGTCAGTAACGGTAACTGCGTTGTAACGGGGGAAACAGTAATTCGTTTGATTACTCGTTACTGAAAAAAGATAACGGCGTTAGTAACGATAGATACTACGAGATAGTAATACGAAAAGATAACGGCGTATTTATAACGCCGTTATTCCCATCACTGGTTACGCCCAGTTAGCGGAGCTGTTTAAGTTGTTAGTGGAGGGACTGGGCAGGTGAGGTAAGGTGCAACGTAAGGGAGAGTGGGAGTTTGTCTGCGTGAGAACCCGTCAGTGACAGATGACCCGAGACAGACGTCTGTTGTGCCTCTGCCAGCTGGTTAAGGTGATTGCTGCCATGTCTCCAGCCAGAAATAAGTGGGCTGTGATGTATGAGGAGTTCTGGCAGACCGCTGTACTGTTATTCTAACAATCCCAACACTGAAAAAACATGGTGTTTTTATTACACAGTGTAGAAACCTAATATATTAATAAACAGCCTGGAGCAAATTTCCCCAGAAATGAATTTTTCATAAAAAGAAATAAGTCTCGGTGCAAGTTCTCTCATGACAGTAAAACAATTGCCAACTTAGGTACACATATACTTATTTTTTCATGAGCTTAGTGCTTTACAGTCCTCATGACAATGTTTCGTGTGTGGCAGTTAAATTCACTGAGCCACGACTGCTAAAAGGTTTGTTGTAATGAGGGAGAGAACGAGTAGCAGAGCCCTTAGGGTAACCGACTCCACAAACCTGGATCAGACAGAAAGGAAATTATCATTCACTGAAACAATACCTTGCATTATGTCTAAACCTCTTTCAATTTTTATTTCGAAACCAGCGATTGCTCCGAAATGGCAAACACATCAGGCTAATTTAAAACTTTCTCCTTGTGTTTTTCTTACCGGAGCGACTCATTTAACTTTAGCATTCCTCGTGTAAGGATTTTAGGTATCAATTTGCCTGTTTAAATAAATACTCCCTGAAGTGTTTAACTGCACCGGAGAGCATGTGTTGCTGGGTTTACACAAGCACACATCACAGTCTGTTCTTAACTCGGATGCTTCGGAGACAGGACTTCGTCATTTATTTAATTTCGGGCATACCAGCTGCCATCTTCATCATCATCATCATCATCATCATCATCATGCCCAGGCATGACTGTTGACATTCAAACCTGGTTGAGAGCGTCTGCCGTACTGATCTGTAGTGACTGTAATGGGCCTTAACAATGCAGTGTAGACACCCCAGCTCAAAAGATAACTACAGATCCAATTTAGTTCATAAACAATGAGACGGTGACCTCATGGCGTAACCATCCATGGCAGCTTCATCGGTTGAAGGCTTCTAGTGCTGTAAGGGCAGTTGTGGGTGTATTTCTCCATAGTTTTCAGTGTAAGGTAATGTTGACCACCACAGCGTCCACACCTGCTTCGGCCTGTAGATTTATAAAGCCCAGTGTGTCTACAAACAGCAGAAGGACTTACAATCCCCTCCGAGACAACATCCACCACATCTGTCCACCTCAGACCAGAAGAATTATTTCCCTCTCTGGCTTCGTTTCTCGGTTTTCAATTTGTAAACTGAAATTTTTGAGTTTATAGACTAGGAAAATTAGCTTTGACATGCTGGAATCTGACCTTGCAACTATCTGATGCAAGCTGTACTCGAATGTTTCCTTTAATTAGATTTTCTTTTTTTTTCAGAGACAAGAATTTGTTTTGCTCAGCAAAGATATTTTTTTGGAGGTGTCTAAACTTAAGTGTCTAACCCAAATTGTTTTCCCCTCCACAGTATGGTTCATTGTAAAACATCTAAAAATGAAAGTTCCTTTCAGGGAAGTCAGTTCACTTAGTGGCCATATTTGCAATTAACTGTTCCAGGCAGCTATTTCAGGCATGCAAGACCAACCTCTGTCTACCAAAATATAAAAAAATAACATTTAAAAAAAAACATTTCAATCATCACAAAATGATGTTATGTTTTTTGTTATGCTAAAATGACTTTAAATTGGCATATATTTCAGATTGGTCCAGGTAATGCATGTGCAGTCCTAAGCACGAGTATCAGGACACTGACCGTTTTAATGGCAACCGGAACTGTTGGTGATTGGCTCTTTATTTCGAAGACAGTACTTTTTTTCAACATATTTTGCATTGCAGTTTCTTCCATGCATAAGTAGAGTGAACCATATTGGTATACTTCTTTTGCATTTACTCCCCCTCATGTCATTCCAAACCGATATGTTTTTTTTTTATTCTGTGGAACACAAAAGAAGATTTTGAAGAATGAAAAAAAAAGGTTTTTGTACATACAATAAAAGTCAGTGTTGTTTTGAACCCCACTGATCTTTTTTGTTTGGATAAAAACAGTTGAAATCTTCTTCAAAATATCTTCTTTTGAGTTTTACAGAGGAAAGTAATTGGAATGACATGAGGGCGAGTAAATGATTCTGGGTGAACTATCCCTTAATACTTCCAAGTTGCAAGATGCAAAACAGGGTATTTTTCATCTTCACTAACTGCCAAATATTATCCCACAGGAAGAAAAAAAACAAGAAACAAATTTAAGAGGAAGGCAAGAGCCAGGACCGGGTGAGACATGCCATAACCCCGTTGCACTGAACTCTCAGACCCAGACTGCTCGCCTAGGGACTGTGTCCTAACCGGGAGTCCCGTCAGCGGCTATAACGCCACTTAGGGAGCAGACCCCTGGAATGAACTGTCCCTAGGCATGGCACTGGTGGTTGTGGAAATAGAGTATGGATCTTTTGATCATTGCTGATCCTCTCAGGCCATGGCAAGGCTAGAGAGGGGCCTCGCCGTCTGCACCATTAGGACTGTGAAATTCCTGACATTCAAAAGCAGCAACAGGTTAGAGGCCGTATGGTAGGAGCTGTTGCACACTATTCAGTGTTGCTTCTCACCGTCTCATAGTTAGTGTTTATTTGATTTAGAGAGTATAAAATGCCATGGGAACTCCATGAGATTTTCATTTCAGGGCATCTTCACATGGTGGTTGTTCTTTGCAGACACTGAAAGAACTCAGGGGATCATGGGTAGGCTCTTGATATCTCAGTCTCTGTCTCCTGTTCTAAACCTTGCTGCTGTTTCTGCTTAAGATGAAGCACAGACTGTCATTTTAAGGGCTTGGATTATGTGGATTGAGACAATTGAATCCACGTTATTAGTTATAGCTTCCTCAACATTATTGTGTAGAAACAGGCTTATCTGAAGTTAGAGCTCAATTTTTGAGGTAATCCATGTCAAAGTCGTCTAATGCCTTCAAACCAAACTATGCTGAGAAATTAATTGTATTTTAAGAACATTTATTAACGATTAAGCAATAATAATATTGCTTTTGTACAACAGTTCAATAAACAAAATGTTAATATTGACTTGAGTATCTTATTTTAGATACAATATTGGATATTAGTTTGTCTATTTTTGCGCAGTCAACGAAAATAGTTCCTAGTCAACACAGAATTGTGTCTCAGAGCAAGTAGACACCTTACTGACTGAATTAGTGTTTTTAAACAAATTGTTTGATTAAGTGATTCACTGACTCATTTGTAAAGTCACTAGCTGGGTCTGAAATATGCTGGGTCCTCAAACTGTCAGAGTAGGTACTACAATTGAATAAGAACTTGCTTTGTGACCGTTAAAAAAAAAGGTAAATTCTATACAGTAGGAATGAAATCCGAATGTGCTACATCCGCCATGTTGTCTTTTTCATGTGATTTGTCACATAAACTGTCAGTTGCCTGGCTTCACTGCCATTCACAATTAGTAAAGTGATGCGAACTTCAGAATCTCGCCGGAAGTAATAGGTCATCCGGGTACTTGCAGTCGGTACAATAAATGACTCAGTGACTCAAATACAGTTACTTGTCACCACTTAATGGCGTATCGATGTAGAAAAGTGTAGAAAGAGTCACTGAAAAATCCCCACCACTTGAAATCCGCAAAGTTGCAAGATGCTAAACAGGGTATTTTTCATATTCACTAACTGCCAAATATTATCCCACAGGAAGAAAAAAACAAGAAACAAATTTAAAAGGAAGGCAGGAGCCAGGACCGGGTGAGACATGCCATAACCCCGTCGGTACAATAAATGACTCGGTGACTCAAATACAGTTACTTGTCACCACTTAATGGCGTAACGATGTAGAAAAGTGTAGAAAGACTCAGTCACTGAAAAATCCCCACTGCTTAACTGTTGTATAATTATAATTAAGTATATTTGTTGGTTATACAAGAAAAATGAGGTAAATCACTTCATGTTCCCTGTGAATCACTCAGATTTCATTCCATAGCTGGAGTACTTTAACAAGGATAATCAAACTTCAGAAGGGTCTGACAGCAGCTGAGTCCACAGTTGTTGAGTGAGGCGTGTGGTCGCCTAGTATTTGCCAATAAGCAGAATTGTCTTCTCAGTCACATTGACATGCCCAAACCCCCTCCTCCGGCGAAGGGGTTACGTCACTGTTTTCTGCTTGTTTAGCACCCTATTGTTTGACCGGCTTTTAATAAACCAAAGGGCAGATTCCTGCAGGGATCACCCCGCAGCCCTCCTCCCATGCCCATCTGCAACACAAGCAGCATGCCAGGGGCACTGCCACTACACGCAGACGCCAGTAACCCGCGTCTCCAGAGCTAAACCCCACGCTAAATATATCCCCTGTGATAAAGATAAGACAAACACAATGGATTTGAACGTAGTTTGATGCCAATAGCCGGAGCACCATGTGAGCCATCGCTAAACTAATGTTAGCTTTACATTAGGCTTCTCAGAAAAGCGCCGGTCTGATTGGAATGCTAAAAGATGAAAGGGTCTGCGCATAGCAAAGCTGTGGTGGGGTTTCCAGTTAAATTAATTAGAGACCCTGATATGCTGTCCTGTTAACCTTCCCGCTTTAATGTGATGTGCAAATTGACGGCTGTCGTCATCTTCTAAAAATAACTCAGGCTTGAATACTTGATTAAGTCGTCAGATGACTATTACGTATTGATTATGAATGAGCTGCACACATAACACTGGTTGACATTGCCAGCTTTTAAATCTAACATCTGGGGGGTGGGGGGGAAGTGTGTTCTAGCTCACCTCTTCCTTGAGCTCCATAAACAATCCTCAGAATATCTATGATTTCTCATCTGGTGCGCTCGGCTAACGACCTCTGGCTTAGCTGCTTGTATTGCACAGACAGGGACTGAATTCTCAATATAACGCTGATGACTTACCTTAGCAACCAATCTCCCACAGCACACATTATGTGAGCCTTATCATATTTATCATAGCCGTCTTACTTCGGCTATGAGTCACTCTGAAAAAAATCACTACGTATCTGATCAAATCGAATTAATATGCACCGTCACTCTGAACTCAGGTAAAAACTGGACTCTTGCATTGTGAGGTAGATCGATGACCATATTTTGCTTGTCAATTCTGGCTAACAATGCATTATATTTAAGAATAAGAAATCAAACACACACACACACACACACATATATATCATATCAATCAATATTTATATATAGTATACTTACATAAATAGTAATGTATGCACTGATGAAACAAGACAAACAGTAAAACACTAATGTACAGTGATAACCTTGCCGCCAGTAAAAAGTAACTCTGATGACCCGGTCACCTTTACGGCGCTGGTGGTCTTACCTTCTGCCTGGTGCTGTTTAACCTGCAATATCCAATCCCAGCTGGCTCCTCTAGGACAGAAATGAAATTTCTTAAGCAACAATTGCCTTTAGATCTCTCCCTCTCTCTCATCCACTTGCTCTCTCCCCTCTCTCTGTTTCTCTTTTACTCTCTCTCACGCATGCCGATTGTGTGTGAGCTCTGATTCCTTCCCCTCCCTCTCAGCTCCCCTCCCCTCCGCTTCGACATTCACACCCCCTCTTTTATTGAGGAATCACATGGAAAAGGGAAAAGGATGGATGATGTACATCTTGGGATGGTTGTCAGATGTGGAACGTGACACAGCAGTCGTATATCACCTTAGGGACACACACATACTCGCCCCCAGCTGCCACACCAACAAGCAAATGGGGATTCCAGCGAAATCAGAGGAACGACCAAAAGTCTGGCCCTCTTTTACGAGGTCCAGGTTATAAAACTGTTAGCGGAGTTAGTTTACTTAAAAACAATTGGTCTTCTGGGTTTCTTGCTGTCTTTTGTGAGACTTGGGAGGTGTAACTCAATTCAGCTGGAAGCTATTTTGAAGTATGTATGCAGTTATATGTTGTAGGAAAATGGAAAAGAAAAAAAAACTATTCTCTACCTCGAGAACAGCTACAAAGGGGGATTAACGATTGCTGTATTAAATTCACATCTTTATACACTAGCATGAGTCTTGAAATTCTTACAAAATGCGATGAAATGGCATTCAAATGCAAAGCACATAACTGCATTCTTGGAATATAAAATAAAAAACAGATGTGCAATTAAAAGTTCCCAACGAACGCATAATTACTATTTCACATCTCCGACATGGAGAGAATCCAGCAAACATTTCTGTTTTTCCCAAATTTTGTCCTTCTGTGGCCAAAAAATGTCCTTTAAAGATCATGGTGGAGGAGGCAGTTGGAATTAAATTACCGCAAATATTGGCACTAGAGGGAGAAAAAAAAAGAGATATGGACTTCATCTGAAAGGGAACTGAGGGTCTGTGGCTTGACATTATCTGATTGTCAGATCTTACCAACTTTATCCAGCAGTTTCCATGATGCGAAGTTTGAGAAAGAAAAAACACCTATTTAAAAATGACTCAGTTTGAAGCATCTCGTGTACAAATAGAAATGAAAAGGGCAAAACAAACTAACTAAAACAGGAAATAATGACTAACATACAGTTTTACAAAAGAAATGCAACAGAAAATGTGATAAAATGGCACACACAAACCATCACGCAAAGTTGGAAACCTCTTGAGAAAAAAAGACTGTGCTAAAAACTCAGGAGGTCAAAAGTTGACAACATAAATTACCTGCAAGACTTGGTGTGACCTCACAAATGTTCTCACCTTCTATCCGTCGACCCCTTGACATCACCATCATTAACAACCAGCAACTCCTGTTCACACACTGCAAATCTGAATTGAAGTTGATTAGCGCAATGCTAATCCAAAGTGGGCTGATCATGACAACAGGGTTGGGTTACATAGCCACTAGCTGGGTATTTTAGTGAGGCGCACATATGCATAGAGTAAAAATAAATAATTTCTCTGAATCGTTTCTATGACTGCGAGACAAATGAATACTGGCGTTGACCTGGCATGTCAGTGAGAGCAAAATAGCCTTAGCAGAGATTTCCTCCAAAAGCTTCCCATCCTGGAAATGAGCCCTTCTCATGCCTGTCCATCATATTTTTATTGGATCCAGGAGCATCTAGTCTTTCAACACTCAACTATTCTTTCAACTTCCGTTTTTCTATTTGATGTGGCACAAGTATCATATCAAGTGATTTACTGTCTGCATTTGTCCATTCGGTTATGTCCATCTAATACGTCGAACGACATTCTGTTTGCCGCAGAAACTGATTTCATCAAGTACATGTTCCTGGAAAAACATCTTTGTGGATCCTGGAACAACATTCCAATTAACCAATCAGATTTGAGGGACAAGTTTACAGTTTGTGTCAAGTTTAGGCTAACAACAAGGGTTAGGTGCTTCTATCAGTGTTATTCACCTATCATTTCCCTCTGATTTTATGGATAACTTGTGGGTAGGGTTAAGTTTAGGGGTAGGGATATGGTTAGGACTCAATCTTTGGACAGGAATGTTGTTCCAGGGTCAACAAAATATGTTGACCCAGGAACGCATCTAACTCAGCAAAATCCAGACATGTGTGTTTGCCAGCCTTGATTTCGTCTTACATGACGGTATTTATCCATGGCTTTTATCCACAGATTCATATCGGTCTCCCCAACTAATGAAATTGGCTTTTATTTTTACCCACAACAGACAGACCGAGGGTTGCAAAGCAGCTTGTCAAGTGAAGAACACAAAGCGAGCCAAAGTTTTCAAGCTCAGGATTTGATCATGAAGTCTCATTTCAAGCTACATGACTAAAAGGTCTCATAATTTTGGGTGATTTATATTGAAACAATGCATGCTGTCAGACCGTCTTCCAGAAATGAGCTCCTCTGGGAATGCTGACCTGGATGAAAATAGTCCATAGTCCTAATTTACAGCCAGTGTAGAAAAACTTGTCTTCCTCTTGCTGTTTAAAATAATACTTGCCAAAGACAACCGTGCAATGATCACTGTACCAGGTCTGGCAGGGACAGACACATACCTACTAAAATAAGTACTTTGCAAAGAAATAACAGGGAAATGCATTTAGAATTCAAGCATGATTAGGATTTCTGTATGAATTAGTCAGGAGAGTAGAGTCCATTATGTCAGTGCAGTAAAAAAAGAGCATCTAAAGGCAAAACAGAGGAGAATGTAACTGTTTCCCTATGTGTACCTGAGGCAGAGACTGCCTACAAAAAAAGAGACTTAATTCTGCCTGTTTACTATCCCTGTGCCAATTCCTGTAGGCATTGTCAAGTCACTGTAGCTGGGAAAAGGGCAAGGCAAAATGACCGTCCACTAATTTCCTGAAGCTTTTTTTTTTATAAAATGAAAACCCTTCTAAAAAATAAGAAGGGCAATCTCATTTAATTGTGTTGTCTTAGGAAGTTGCTGTAAGTCATATTTTCTCTTAGATTAAACAAATCTTTGAAACAAAAAAATTAGCACTACATTTCTTTATTAATAATGTTAAAAAGATTTTAATATGAAATGGCAAGAATGTAAGACTACGACACAATCTGGAAGAATTTTAGTTTTGTTGGAAGTATGAAAATTTGTTCTTAAAGCTGAAGTGTGTAATTTGTGGATCCCTTACCAAATGCTATATGACTGATATCAGTTTAACAACTAGCCCCACCCCAAAAACCTATGCCATTGGCTGAGGTGCTGTTGCTGTGTTTGGGTGCTCAAACAAAAACAGAAATGTTTTGATGACACCACAAGCCACAATGTGTTTTGACACTTTTTGGAGAAACGAGCCAACAAATGGCATGCTTATTGTTGTCTCTTCATATTGATCTCACTCAGATATAAGTATTTTAACAATAGAAAAACCTCTGTAATGATCCATGATTTGGTGGCAGTTTATCTTGGTTCAGATCTGTCTCTTCAGTATAAGTTATTTTGGATAAGAAAGTGTTTGCTAACGAATTAATAACTAAAGCAATATGACTGGCTTTTACTATAATACAATAATTAGAATGTTTAGCGACCACCAATAGACCTTTTAAAAATTAATTGGAGATCTTTTGCACCAGATATTTTATTACCTTTTCCTGTGCAGAAACTTAAGGAGACTCGACAAGAGACTGGATAAACATCAGTTAAACATGAGCCAGGAAACATTAAAACAGCGAACACACTATTGGTTAAAGCTCTGAAAGGCTGTAAATATAAACCCTGTAGCGAATGATCTATAAGTTTTAACTATGAAGCATGACACTTACCTTAGTGGGTGAATTGTCCCTCTAAATGTTGCCCTATACGTTTATCAATAATTTCTACTAACATTGCACATCTAAATAATTTGAATTTCAAAGTTCCACACGCAGATTTCATGCATGTTCAAGTTGGTAACCCCACGCTGGCCAACAAAAAGCTGCTTAGTTTGAAAGTGACAATGGACCTTTTTAACCCGCGATTTTTTTTGCCATGACAAAAACTCTTAATATTGATATTCGGGAAGGAAATTCTGGCAGTAATCATCTTATATGCGGAGGCTTTTTTTCATATTTGTTAATACAATAGCCTTATGTCTTGCTTTTGTGATTTCACCTGCTCAGTGACATAAATGTTTTGATGCTACAGACAGAAATGAAATCAACCACAATGATAACATTAAGGGAATATTTTACAACTGACATTAATATCTTGGGTGATAAGAGAATTTTTGTCTTAAAGGGTTAGTTCACCCAAAAATGAAAATTATGTCATTAATGACTCACCCTCATGTCGTCACAAGCCCGTAAGACCTCCGTTCATCTTCGGAACACAGTTTAAGATATTTTAGATTTAGTCCGAGAGCTTTCTGTCCCTCCATTGAAAATGTATGTACGGTATACTGTCCTTGTCCAGAAAGGAAATAGAGACATCATCAAAGTAGTCCATGTGACATCAGTGGGTTAGTTAGAATTTTTGAAGCATCGAAAATACATTTTGGTCCAAAAATAACAAAAACTACGACTTTATTCAGCATTGTATTGTCTTCCGGTTCTGTTGTCTATCCGCTTCAGTGACGCTGATGACGTAAGACGCTGCTGACGTGTATAATGGAGGAAATATGGCTGGGCAAAAAAATGCAAGTCTTCCTCTTTGTCGAAATCCTTAGACATGTTTGCGAAGATTGTTTTGTTTACAGCGTGCGTCTCCCTCAGACTGTAAACGAAGCTCGGGCGCACCAGAGACACGTCACCAGCGTCACTGAACGCGGATTGACAACAGAACCGGAAGAGAATACAATGCTTAATAAAGTCGTAGTTTTTGTTATTTTTTGACCAATATGTATTTTCGATGCTTCAAAAAATTCTAACTAACCCATTGATGTCACATGGACTACTTTGATGATGTCTTTATTTCCTTTCTGGACAACATTTTCAATGGAGGGACAGAAAGCTCTCGGACTAAATCTAAAATATCTTAAACTGTGTTCCGAAGATGAACGGAGGTCTTACGGGCTTGGAACGACATGAGGGTGAGTCATTAATGACATAATTTTCATTTTTGGGTGAACTAACCCTTTAATGCGTAGGCCTATAGTT